CAGCGCTTATTACAATGTAACAATGTTTCCAATGTTTTTACAATACTTAGATAATAATACATTTAATTTCATATTTACAAACTATAATCATTATATACTAATCAACCTACAATTAATTGAAAATACATAAGCACAGATACATCTAGTCAATACATATAAATACAATAGAATACAATTAATTTTAGGGCAAAACTTTACAAATTAAAATTAAGGCAATTGCATTACATCTCCGTGAATAACACATTAAAGCTACGTACTAACAGGGAGGATTAACAGGGAAAATTAAAAAGGAATGTCTTTAGGGCAGTGGCGGATCCAGGGGGGGGGGGCCGGGCCCAAGCCCCCCTCCTTGAGAAAAAATTCAAGTAAAAACTCGTGATTTTTACCTTTTTTGGGGGGTGGGGGGGTGCAAATTTTTAAATTTTCGAGGACCAAAAATAAAAAATGTGCTCACTACCCCCCCCCCCCCGGCCAGGCAGGACCATCTCTAAAGGGGGAGGGGTGGGGGTGCGACACCTCCACCTGTCAGGATATTGTTGGTAAAATTGCGCTGCTGTCGGGGAAAATGAGAAAGGGGGGAGGAAAAAATAAGAGGGAAAGGAAAAGAAAGGAAAAAAACGAAGAGAAGAGAAGAAAAAAAAGAGAAAACAGAAAAAGAGAAAGAAGAGGAAAGAAAGGGAAAAAGGGAAAGAAAGAAAAGAAGAAAAGGAAAAAAGGGAGAAAAAAGGGAAAAGGAAACAAAAGAAACGGAGGATGAAAGAAAGGAGAGAGAGGGGGGGGGGGTAAGAACATGAGAGGGGTGGGAGTAAAAGAGAGAGGGGGATGTTAGGTGGAGTCGCCACGTTGAGGGAGCAAGACAGATACGCATAGATAATCATGTTGCTGTGTCGGGTCAGCTGTGTCGGTATTCTTGCTGGATCCTCGTGTACTATATCAATGCAGAAGTTTGAAGTCGGTGAGATGTATTATGTCGGTCGGCCGGCAATTTTTTTCTCCTTACGGTATGTGAATTTTTATCGGACAAAGAAACATTTTGAAAATTCAGACAATGTTTAGGAGTCGGTACAACGAATCGTCTTCTTTCTCTAATATTTTAATAAAACATCAAAGCTTCTGCGCTTGGCGCGGGAGAGGGGGATTTGAATTCAGACATGGATCAAGAGTAATAATTTAATGATACGTTAAAGCTTCCGCGTTTCATGCGGGAGGGGGGAACTGAATTCAGACAGGAACACGATACGACGATACAACGAATCGTCTTCTTTCTCTAATAATTTAATGAAACATCAAAGCTTCCGCGCTTCGCGCGAGAGAGGGGAAATTGAATTCAGACATGGATCAAGAGTCTTAATTTAATGATACGTTAAAACTTCCGCCTAATGCGGGAGGGGGAAACTGAAGTCAGACAGGGACACGATACGACGATACAACGAATCGTCTTCTTTCTCTAATAATTTAATGAAACGCGAAAGCTTCCGCGCTTCGCGTGGGATGAGCGAAAATGAATTCAGACAAGGATTAAGATAAAATTATTTATTGAAACGTTAAAGCTTTCGCGCGGGAGGGGGAGGGGGGAACTGAATTCAGGCAAGGATTAAGAGTCGAGGTTTATCGGTTACTACTTTGTAGACATTTGAACATTGGCTTTAATATATTTGTTGGTAAATGGTGGCTAGTTTTGTCGATAATCGGTGGCCTCTACACCCCCTCCCCCACTGAGAAACGTCTAGCGACGCCCCTGATAACAACACAGTTTATACACTCGAGATAATTTTTGGAAGTACTACTTGTGAAGGACCAGACCACCGTCTTTGTGCATTGTGCAGCAACGAAGCATATACAACGTATCACGACGTGACAAATCACTTTTCTCTAACTTCTAACCAATTAGAAGGCCTCGTTTTTTTCCAGGAAGTGCTGGTGGACATTAATTAGCCAAATGTGGTTCTCAAATTGCAAAAGATCCCTACTCTTTGAAGGTGTAGGAGAAAGCAATTTTACGTCATATTACTCCAATGCGTCTCATGTGGTTCTAAAATTGCAAATGCTTCCTGGGAAGGGGGTATAAACCCCCTCCCAGACGCACCTCCGCTTGGTCGCTCCGCTCCCTCGCCGCTAAAGTCTTGCTCTATCGCTTCATCGTTTTTCATATATTTCACCCCCATGCCATGTTGCGCCCCCCCCCGGTAAGAAATCTTGGATCCGCCACCGATACCCATACCCCTTGAGCTTCGTGGGCTCCGCCCCTTGACCCCCGCCGGGGCTTTTCCCCTAGACCCCACTTTGAAAAACGTTCAGCGGGGCGTGCATGTAAGAGTGGGGTGATGCGGATTTTTGTCAGCCCCCTCCCCCCAAACGTTTTTGCTAATTACGCCACTGCAGGCATTGCTAATGAAAAGATAATTTCTGTTGAATACGCATAATTATTCATATTTATTTCAAGAGCAATAGGATTACGCATTGCGAATGCCGAAAATGATAAAAAGAGAACGATAACGAAAAGCGGAAGAATTGGTGTTGGAGAGAAAAAGTGATAATCATCCTTTTTACAGCGTGCTCTTTATTATATGCTCATAGAAAGACATGTGCGTCCCGTTTCGTCATGCCAGTTCTCAGGGGTGGTATTGTCACTGGGGCTGGGGGGGGGGGCATAGCATTCAAGAAAGTTTAGCGAGCCGGAAATCCTAGTTTAATAACTAGATTTTTCATTGTGCAATATAAAGACCTTGTATTTTATCAACGCCCTAATATTTATTTTTCCAGTTACCAAGGGGGGGGGGGGGGGGGGGGGGGAGGGTGCGATGCATTTGGTAGATTGGAATTTCGCATATTTAGAGCAAATTAATAGGCAATAGAAGTAAGTTTGGGGCCGTTCTTGCGCGCGTCAATCTTTTCAGTTTCCTTTACTGAACATAATATCTACTGCGAGAAACTGTAACAGGAGCCTTGCATGCACTCAGTTTAAGATTTATAATGTAGAATTTAAAAAAAAGACACTTACTTATTCAAATGCGAGAAAGTAGATATAAAACCCATTATATGATTATGATGGATATCAAATGTTGAATATCAGGATTTGCAAGTGATGCAAGCTCAAAAGCCTTCTTTGCTTTTATTACATTTCAAGCTTGGCGCAAAGGATTTTCAAAATGCGCTTTCTTGAGGCTCCGTAAATCCGTTCCTGACTTGATAAAATTATGCCATAAATTATACAAAATGGCATATAATTTTATTGATAACTTGACATCCCTGGTTTATTGCTGCTTATAGATTTTGAAAAAGCATTTGATTCCATTTCTCATGTTTTTAAAGTATTGCACTTTTTTTAAGTTTGGTCCCTCTATTGTAAAATGGGTTACAGATAAAGACCAGTTATGGTCATGCGATTGCATTGTGAAAGAAACGTTGTGGAATCGATCAGAAAAGGTTGATCATCTAGCATCTAGCATCTGCAAGGTTCTGGAATCATCAAAATGGTAAGAAATTTGGCCCAGTCTTCGTAAAGTTACAAGCGCTGTACACAGAAAGATGTGGGACTACACACACATGCGCGACACGTGCGTTTATCTCTCATAGTCCAATAGATAAACTAATTTACAAAATTTATCAATTAGTAGGCGGTTTCCCGGCAAAATTGTTATCATCATGTATTAGTCAAAACACATTCTTTCACATGATTGGTAATAGAGCTTCCATTTCATTTTTTGAAATTGGGCCGTTTCCAATAAATGCTCAATCCTGTGTATTAATCAAAGGACATCTGTCTCCGCGATTTTCAATAGAGCGAGGATGTCGGCAAGGAGATTCCCTGTCAGCTTATAACTTTCTGTTATGCGCTGAGGTCTTTTGTTTAGAAATTCCGATTCCATGTTTGTATGCATGACCAATAAAATAATCCTGAATCTTGAATTGTTGGTTTAAGCTTACCTAATAGACAACTTAAAATAATTAAATATGCAAATGGTACTCTTCTAACATTGAACGGGTCAGTAGTTAAACAGTGTATTTAGCATATAATGCAATGTCTGGTTTAAAGTTAATATTACAGAAGAATTGCGATATGGATTAGAGGATATCAGAACAAGAAAGATGGTGTTCTTTTGGAATCTGATTGGTCTAAATTGTAGTCGTGATTTTAGCCATTCTCCCGTAAAGAGACGAACAATGCCAGTAATGGTCAATAGTTCATGAGTGATATTCCCGCAAGATTCCTGGTACCAGGAAAACAGTAAAATTGTGCTACGATCCCCATTCATAAGTGATATTCTTAAGTCGATTATTGTCAGATGATACAACACAGATAAACAACAAGGAGGAAAGAAAGTGGCTCCCTTTATCAACTTAAGTGTAAGACATCGCAAGGACAATTTTTTTTTCATTTGTAGGAACAAAGCTGTTGAATGATCTCCCAGATGAAATAAGATTAAAAACATCGAGGTTATCTTTTCGGAGACATCTTTCCACCTATCTTTCCTCTTATCTTATATGTAAATGAAGCAGGCTCAATATACCCACCACCCCCTTTCGTTTATGCTTTCATTTTCCTTTTCTTCCTTTTATGTACACACTTGCTTGTTTACGATTATAGCTGCCCTTATGCTTTTACAGGATTTGCGCATGTACGCACTTCTGTATGATTTTTTTATTTTTATTAAAACATCCTTTTCATTTTATTAACAAAGTGATGTTTGTATTTGTTCAAAGATTTGGTATCTTTCATCATTATATTGCTTTAGCACTTACATCTTTTTCTTCTTTCAGAAATATAAAAGTTTCAGGATACTGTGTTTATACTTTTGCATATACATGTGTGTGTAAATCAGAAAACAAACGATGTTTACATTAATGTAAATATATATTTCTTTAAATCTAAATTGGTTCTAGGATGAAAGCTGAAAATTCGGTTAGTGCAGGATATTGACAGATTTGCTGTTTCCTACGTTACTCGTTATATCACGTGACAATACTTCACCTGTCTTTGGGAACAGTTATGCTAACTCTCATGTCAACACATAATATACGAAACAAGTAATTCCGACCATAACTGCGATTAAAGTGCCATTAGCTGACCGGAGGCAGCTCTTTGCATCTCCCAATGCCCAACCGGTCAGGTTTTCCGTCAAACCAATGTCCTCAGTACTTGCTGTGATCGGCTGCAAGAGCTTTCTGCCGCTCTCTTTCACACTCGGGTGACACTGAACCGACAGGTTGGAGTATTCGCCTGTCTCGTCAACGTTGATGAACTCGATATGGACCAGGACATTGATGTCAAGCGTATCCCCTTCACTGATGGCGCGACAAGTTAGAGAAATATTCATCTCTTCTTCATCAACGTAAAGACGCCTTGAGTCCAATTTTACCACCAGTGATCCGGCTACTACTTCTAGATCTTCCATCTGATGGTCCACTGATAGAGTCTCGTTGAAATCAAAACCAGATTCTGCAAGAGCCCAGGAAATGTCGGGAAAGGGATAAGATGCGGCGGGACACTGAACTAAAATCTCCGAGTTGTTCGATATTGTACAGGCTTGCTCTTCCGACACAGACAACGGACAAGGGAAGCCATCTTTCAGTAAGTCCGACAGAGGTTTGCCAGCATGACCCTCTGGTGCAGAGCACTTGGTATTAACAAAGTTGATACTGTCCTCCAGTTTCACTAACCAACGCTGGTGGCAGTCACATATTAGCCTGTTGTCTCCCGCACTAACGGATGTCCTGAAAGGTGCTTGATCGGAGGAGGACCTAGGGATGAGTTCACGTTCCAAATATGATAGACTGTTGTCATCCAAGTTTAGTGTTAAAAGATTTGTCAGGATCTTGAAACCATTTCCACACCTCCAGGCAGAGAACAACCACAGTTTGTTGCCTTTGAGGATCAGGACCTTCAGAGGATGCGATACGCCGCTGACACCGCAACTGGAGAGAACCCTGATGCGATTGTTTGAGAGATCAATGGTATGTAACCTAGGATATAGCTTGGTTAAGTCCTTCAGTTTAAGTTCCACCAATAGATTGCCAGGAACATACAAGACGATCATCGAGGGAGCAAAGACTTGAGGAAGTTCAACAAGACCGGACTCTTGATAGCGTAGATTTATCAACTGTGTGGGGTACACTCTGTTACTGTTATCATTGTATTCTTCTAGAATCGATATGTTGATAAAGTATGCACCTATCGCGGTCTTGGTAAGTAAAGTATAGAACGAAGATGTGCTAATAACGACATTTTCAAGCTGCAATGTGTTTAGCGTGTTAAGTGATAAAGGTAGACACGTATCGGCCACATCCTGAATCATCCCCCCATGGACTAGGACAAACTGAGCATGGTGTCCGCAAAGAATTCTACCCGAAACATTTAGTAAAGATGACCCGTACACATCAAATTCAAACATGTTCGTCAATACATCATGCATTCCATTAGACATGAACTCTGTATGCCTTGATCCGATTGAAAGATATTGTAATGAAATATTCTTTGTTGTATTCGTATCATAGTATGATATACGGTTTCCATCCATTGAGAAAAAGACCAGATTGTTAAACATGGCAAAGGCGTCGAGTTCAAACCTATCGATGCTGTTGTTCGACAGATGAAGAGACCTTAGATTTGGGAAATTTAGAGATATCTGACGTGGGATTCTTTTAAGATAGTTTCCACTCAGGATAATTGTTTGCAATTGAGGGAACACTCCGTGCACTATTGGAAAAGCCAACAAGTGTGTGTTTTTGAGAGACAACGTAAAGAGATGAGGAAGGGACTCCAATATGTTGGGCGAAATAAAATTGAGTGGATTGTCATCCAAAATCAGGGTGTTCAAACTGGGAAGATAAAAAATACCAGATATTTCGGATATCAGGTTGCTAGTCAGGTCGACAAAGCACAAAGACTGCAATCCTCTGAATGAGTCGCTATCTACTCTTGTTAGTTTTGCGTAGCTTAACCGGAGATCCGTCAGTGGTCGGATAAATTCGATTTGATTCTTGTTCCTTATTGGGTTGTAGCTTATATTGATGTCATTTATTCTACGCAGATTGGAAAAAGCACGAGTTGAAATACTATGAATTTTATTCTTTGACAGGTTTATCGATTGAAGATTTTGAACATCAAACCGTCCTGATATAAATGCTATTTCATTACCCGACAAATTGATTGTTTCCAAACTAGGTAAATTTGCTAGATCGGTAGCTGATATTGTGACAATTAAATTCTGGTTCAAATCAACATATACCAGGTTTCTTATTCCAGAAATGGAGGGAATAGATGTCATCAGGTTATTCTTTGCTGATAGGAAGGACAGCATAGGTAGTAGGGTTAAATTGTGGATATCCTTTATAGAGCAAACGTCCAAGTTTACAACGCGAAGGTGAGTATGGCTTTTCATAGTTACATAATCCATTTTCCCTTCAACAACTGAAAGAATCTGCAGCCTAGGCATCTTGGTCAGTATTCTAGCTATCCCATCGGCAAGATCGGGAGAACTTTCCACAGTAATGGTCAGTTCTATGAGATTTTCGAGAAGTGGGATTTCCTGCAGTTTGATGACCTCTCTCTGATACGAGACATACAAACCCTTTAATGAAGGGATGCCGCTGATGTTTCCAAGTCCAGAAAGTCTGTTGCTGTTGAGATGTAATTTGTCAAGCTCTGGATTGAAGGTATCCTTGAAGATTTCACGGATCCTGTTCTCATTTAGGATCACAGTTTTTAAACCAGGCAACAAGAAAGAACCGCTCGATATCTGCGAGATCAGGTTACCTGTAAGATCTACTTTCTGTAACTGCAGGAGACCCGAGAGTGAACCCCCGTCGATGGACGTCATCCTGTTAAAGCTCAGGCCGAGGCTTTCTAGCTCCTCTGGAAAATGATCCCCTTGGACAAATGTGATCCTGTTGTGATCCAGCAAAAGCAATTTTAGTTTTGGAGCATGAGCCTTCAGGTTGCTACCAAGGCTGCGAATATTGTTGGACACCAGGTACAGTTCTTGTAGTGACGTGAGATTGTGAAACACGGGAATGGCTGTGAGGGCGTTGCGGGATAGAGTAAGGTATTTCATCTGGTGGAGGATCGTAAACATCCCATCATCGATACATTTTAAGCCATTTCCCCTTAAATTGAGATAGATGATGCCTGTCCGATTCTGGAAAAGATCAGGTGATAATGTTGATTGTGGTACATTAAGATCAAGGCCACGGAAGGCTACATCTTCAAAGGTGTGTTTTAGCTGAGCCCCTAACCGGAAGACCCCTCTGCAGGAAACGTGTAGTAATGTACCAACACATGAGCAGTCTCTGCAGATATCAATGCTTTCAGGAGCAGCGAAGTACAGCATGGCAATCAGCATGAACAAAGCAAGGCATGGTTTACCAGTATGTCCCCGTCGTATGGGTGCCATCGTACCGTCTTTGGTGATAAAAAACCTGGAAATGTAATGACAAAGACAATATGATGACGGGCGCACGCGTATTTCGGAAGGTTCGTTATTCCGATGGTTCGTAATTCCGAAGGTTAACAATGTCGAACACAACGGGCTTTATTTCTTATAAAGTCAACGGGGACGTCCAACCAGGTATTCAGTTGGTTTTAATAGAAAAATAAAATGAGAGAAACAGGTCAGTGAAAGTTTGAGCAGTAACCGATTGAAAATAAGAAAGTTATGAATTACTTTTGTGTGTGATTAATAAAACACAAATTGGCATCTCTGTGACAAATCTCTTGAGCACCCCTCCTATTTGCCCTGTACTAAAGAACTTAAGAAATTCATATTTTCTCTAAACATAATGTTGATCATACATTCACCGTAGAGGTTTCGTGGTCTAGTGAAAACGTCACTGGACTGTTGGTCACATGGTTCAACAAACATCACCGTCCGCGTTTATTTCCTAAATAATGATATGAATCCAAACCACCGTAATTGTTGTGGATTTAAGCCTTCTACTTAGAATCAGCACCACTGGTCTGACGTCCGACTTCGATTCTGAGCCGATTTAGCTTCCCTTTCCAAAATGAAGCTTGCTATCCTTAGCAATTTAGAACTATTTATCCTTTGACTATTCAGATCCTTAATCATTAAGTTTTTTACAAGTTCGGATGTTTACATCAAATGCCATGATAAATTCTTCCCAAATAGTCAGATCGTATATGTAATGAAAAATTGAACCAAAAGCGTTGAATTGTCAGTCTTTAACGTGCAAGCTTCGTGAGCGCGCAGCAGAGGTGCGATACAAGACGTTATTACCAACACCACTATCTAACAATTGAAAGGACTCATTCAAAAGGTTTATGATTCAGAAAAAGGATGGATCGTGATTCCAAAAATAAAGTATAGCCTATTTTATTTTCTGAATTATGAACCTTCAAGATTATGGACGGTATTTTTTTTTATCGGAGCTACGACACCTATTTAATTTTGAAAAATTCTGAAGGCTCATACTTCCCATGATTCCCTTTATGTATTATGAACTTTGGAATTACCGAAATGACAAATGAAAATGTATATTTGATTTGTTTTGTTATTACCTAAAAGTCAAGTGAAATCAATTTTCGAGAATGCCGATACAATGATAACTAAAATTCCATCACTAAATTTTATTATAAAAATCAGATTTACACATTGAAGATTTTCTTTTCTATCGGGCGCCATCCTGTCATGACTTCCAGCCCTATGCAGTATTCTGAATTCAGACTTTAAAACAGTCTGCTCGTTGATAAGAGTGCCCTTTTTAGCGTGAAATAAAGTTTAGAACCACGAAATAGTAACTAATAACTTGAAAAATGTCATTTACGCGAATCAAAGATATATATATATATATATATATATTACTATAAAGCATTTAAATTCTAAGCTTAATACTTTCTGCTACATTATATTTTATGCATTCTCCATGTTAAGTAAATTATTTAACGTGAAATAAAGTTTAGAATGGCGAAAAGAGTAATTTGCTTTTTCATAAGGTTATCTAGACTAATCAGATACACTTAATAGTTGACAAATAATCATATACATTCAAACTTCACCAACGATTGCCTTCTATAACAGCACTACAGTTCAATTTCAATTCTCTTTGAAAATATGTTGAAGGAAAGACAACAAAAATTAACTTACCAAAGAAAATAAAAATCCTGACCCGGAGAACAACTGTACTAATATACTATCTACGATCAGGCAGACAAAGACGTTTTCGTTGTTCATCCGAAATAGCGAATATAATGATCATATCGGAAGCTTATCTCAGCTATAATGTGTGACTCTCGCAACGAGATGTGTTTTGCAAGTGAACATAAATGAGCTCACACACGTCCTCTTATGTGTTCCATATAACTTGCGATTATAATAATCCTAGCCATGTGACTGTGAGTTATCTTTGTAAGTTCGATGTGCGGATTAGCAATTCAATCCAATATTACCGGTGTAACAACAATTGTTATATCATGCATCGACAATTTATTGGTTTTTGATGGGTTCAAAGTGTGTCACATGATCAAAAAATATACACACTCTCTTGCAAAAAGTATTGTTTACCTAACGACGGCGGTACATGTTTCTTTAAAAATAATAGAGTAAGGACAATGTTATGTCGATATTCGCTATTTCTTCCCTTCATGCAAAATGGCTTGTGATAATCACTGTAGGTTGCTTATAATAATCACAGGTCCCTTGTTAAAATAAAGTCTGGGCTTTCTCTTGCGTCCACTTGCTTACCAAACCTCTTGTGGTCACATTTAGGACCCTTTGAAGATCACCTTTGAGCTGAAAAGCGTGAACCTTGCCATACGTGGAAAATAAATAAATACAGAAAATATAATAAAATAGCCTGTCTGCATTAATTTTACCAGGAGGGATTAGAACTCCCTGCATGGTCACTGACAGGTGGATATCTCATCAAATCAGAAAAATGGATCATGGGGGACCAACGGGTACCGCTTAGGCATTGTTTGTCATATAGAGGGCGCAAGTAGCTACGAGTAGTGCAGTCCCGCTTTAAGACACATTTTTAGTTCTTTAAAGGCCACACATTTAATCTCCCTGTGCCACTGTGTATTCATCATGGGAAAGATAAACCAAAGGCTTCAAGATTACACCCAAAACGGGTAATTTTGCAAAGCCTTTGTCTTTCACAAAGCAATCCTTCCGTCATCTGGTGACTATATTGTTTTGTGCACAATTACACATGTGACAATTAGTTTTACTTCTTTTGAGCGTTACCCGAACAAAAGCAGTTCGTCTATTTTATACTCGTCAACCTATTTTATATTCATTTTTCATCGGATTATTACCTAAGATGTGAAATCTAAATGATTTCTTCGACGTAAGGCCCTAAGTGTTTACGTGTGCGTGCTTGTGTGTGTGTGTGTGTTTGTGTGAGGGAGAGGAGGGGGACAGGGAGGAGCAAGACTTTGTGTTTGTTCCTTGAACTAGTAAAATAACCTCCAGAATTGTTTTTTAAAATATTTTTATATAGAGTGAATAACATGTACAATTGACCTATACATTACGTTTATGTACTTTAAGACATCGTTTAACAATGTAAAATCTGAGATGCAAGGCCCTACGTGTTATCAGAGTCTGTGATATGGTGTAATATTGAAGCCCTAAAAAACTGCGCTTCAAAACGATCATGAAGTACCTGAGAAAGTAAAAATCTTTGAGTGACCGGTTTTAACATGCTTATTTTCCCCCAATAGACTGTTACTAGTGTTATAGAAACCGTTAGGAAAACGAAAAAAATTTGATTTCGATTTCCAATCAGACAGGCGATCGGCTTGTAAAAGTCATGGGGTTTCTGACTGACCTACATTGCACCATGAGCTAATCCAGGATTTTGTTTCAGAATCTGAGGCAATGTTACCAAGTCACTTTAAATTTACTTTGTTGCTCATTTAATATATATATATATATATATATATATATATATGAATATACACTGCAATTTGTTTAATCATGTTTATGTATATAAGCAATTAATACTGCAAACGTTTATTCATTTCATTCAATTGTATATTGTTGTTTGTATTACATTTGGAGGAATAAAACAAAATTACTAACAAAAATAAATAAATAAGAATTTAGGTGCGTGGCAGAAGGATATACAGAACAAGCAAGATTAGAGTTAATCTCCCTTCTTATTTCTTTTTGAGCTTTAGGCTACAAAATGCCAAACTACGTAATCCATGACGCAATAAGGAATATCGTAAGGCTCTTCGTCTAAAAAATCATTTAGAATTCACATCTTAGACAATAATCGGATGAAAAGTTAATACAAAGTAGGACATTCGAGGCAGGCCTGGGTGTCACCGAGAGCCAACATTCAGGCCTCGAATATTAAAGCAGTCGATATTTCTTGTAAAAACCGAATTGACACAAAAATTACCATGAATTCTTACCTTATCCTTTTCTTGAGTAAAGTTTGGTTAAAACATCACGGAAAATCTGAGACACTGTCTGTTAATCTTCGATGAAAGTTACAATCATTTGGGAATCGCAGACAAAAAGCACTGTATGGTATCCGCGCTCGCACACAGACAATTTTAACACGTAAACCAATGGGGATCGCAGCAAAATTTTTACTATTTTCCCGGTACCCGGAATCTTGAGGGAATCTGACTCATGAACTATTGACCATTACTGGCATTGTTCTTTTCTTTACGGGAATGGCTAAAATTACGACTCCAATTTCGACCAATCTCATGGCTAGATTTTTAAAGAGAGGGATATAATTTATTTTTTGATTCTGAAGCAATTCAAATCATTCTTAGAAATACAGTCATTTTTCATCATGACATGATTCAATACATTGTCAATACATAGACTGTACGATTGATGAAGCAAAAATGATATCAGTTGTAAAAACAAATAACCCTATCCAACCGTACATACTACCACACCCTCACCATGGGACACACGACGCACACACATATATACACACACACACGCGCGCGCGCGCACAGACATGCCCACCACCCGACCACACTTTCACACTCATACAACACAATGTTCCTAGCCTCCTAAGAATACCCAACATTGGAGCGACAGAATAATAATAATGATTCCAAAATGCATAAATAATTAAAACGAGGCTACAATAACCCAGTGATAAAGTTCATGAAACTTTACTTGTTCCCACTTCTGTAAATGTAAGGCTAATTTGCTTGCCCTCCTTGCAATATATTTTTTTTCTTCTTCCATAAATTCCAAGTTTTTTTGTTGAAAATCACCCAAAGACAACATTACGGACACTCCCCTGCATCTATATATCCAATATTTCATTGCAAAAATAATTGTATTACATATCTTTATTCGTGAGGAAATACAAGATTCCTTTAGCTCAAACTAAAGCCCCTTTCACACCGGATCTGCGTAGAGTTGCGTAGTGTTGCGTACCGACTACGCCGAAG